TGAATTGTCCTTACTTTGTTTCCTCGTTCCTGGTGGGATTGTTTCTATCACTGCAAAACAAAACAAAAAATAGGAGGCATTAGCTTACATGAATGTGTTTAATTATTCTGAGGACCTATCTTTGGGGCTCCCAGGCCAACCATATCTAGGGAGGTTGAATACCGATGACAGGCGAACAGCTTTCCAATAAACTGCAGTATTATTGCAATAGACTTTGTAATACAATTTATGCTGTCATTCATAAATAACAATGCCATATGTCAACCATATTGCTTACACAAGTAAATCCATCAGTGTGTCACTATTTGATTTATCTGAACAGCTTCTTCAAATTTTGAAGTATAGATACTGGAAGGAGTGTGGCATGGGAGGAACCACCCAAGAAATTTGAGATTATATTTTTAACTGTACAACCTCTACTTCTTTGTTCTATCCAAAAACATCTTAAAGGCTAAGGGATGAAGAGGAGGAGAAACACATTTGGGCGCCAATGTAAATAAATATTGTGTGGTTATATGAACTGTGAACATGTAGAGGAGTTTTGTGGTTCCTGTTTTGACTTTCTGAGCATATGTTAGCACGATGATGTATAATATTTCCCAAGAAAACACCAACCCTAATGGTTAAATGTAGGCCAATGGCCTTTCTCCAACAACCTCCATTTCTGAGGGTAAAAATGGTTGATAACCCAATAGGAGTATTTGATGGGAGACAACTTTTACTCAACTTATACTTTCTTAGAGGGGAAGTAGAGAGAGTGATACTTTTTCTGTAGCTTTTAACCACCAAGGTGATGTGGACATGGATGAGTCCAATTCTTGACAATCCAAAAATCAACAAAAACAAAATAAAATAATCCCCCAGGGAATCCAACATCTTAGTGATGGCCACACTGCTTCTGTCTTCATTTTATCCTCATTAAGTCCACGTCCGTGTGATAATGATATTAGCAAGAAGCCCTTTTTTGGTTACTTTTAGCCCCCGATATATCCTGGAGCCTGAGAATCCAGCATGAGCTCAGAAGGGCGGAAAACCTTCGGAGAGGTCCTCACAGGGCGCGATGAGGAACCCCCAAGGCACCTGGGCGGGTCGCAGCCCTCACGCAAGTCCGGTTGTGCGTGACAAAAGTTGTGGGGACGGTAACCCTGTGCAGACGGGGCAGGCGATCAGGAGAGGAGGGCCTGGACCTTGCTGCCTAGACGCCTGGGGAACCTGATTTGGGAAAATTCCTTGAACCCAAAGTCCTTATCACTTCCGGAGGTGACAATGCTCTAGTAAAACGCAGCTTGCCCATCTCGCCCCGGCTTTCAGAGAGGGCTGAGCGAACTATCACCGCCTTCTTAGTGTCTTAGAGCCACTCTTAACTCCCCTCGCGTTATCCACCTTTGGCGTCCGGTTCGCCCTTGAACCCGCCTCCCGCGCGGCACTAGACACTCCAATATAGCCGGCACCTAGCTCTTCTGCAAGGAGGCCGCTCTCACGGAAACCACGCGGGACCAGAGAGTCGTAGAGCAATTGCAGGGGCAATAAAAGGGGGCTCGGTGGATCCCCCAGCTGCTTTCTTGTCCACCCCCCACAGTTCCCCCCACCCTCCGCCCGCAGAAACAATCAAACAAAGGCTCAAAAGCCAGGAAACGTCCAATTCACTTCCCTTAGAGTTTATTAATTGCCCACATCCATCGCAGGAAGCTGGGCTGTGTTCCGTGATGAACCTAGGGCTCAGGGGAGTCATGAAGCCGTGTCTCCCCTCAGCGCAGCGGGGAGCCGTGAGCACCAGCCGGAGCGTCCCCAGACACAGGGTCCTGCGGTCTCCAGGCAGCTGGGCGCGGCGTGGCGGCCGGCTTCCGGCCAGCTGGGCATCCACTGTGCTTCTCACTTCCCCGGCCTTCTCGCGTCTTTGTTTGGGGGCTGGAAGGAGTTTGGGGTTTGAGGTGCAAAGGAGAGAGATCTGGAAAACGATGCCCCAAGATGTCCTGCTAACTACAGAAAGGGCATATCCATGGCTTGCCAAATTGCTCCCTCTAAACAAGCACCTCCACTGCAAAACACAAACTCAGGCATGAGTTTGGAGGACTGGCCCTGACAACCAGCACGGCCGTCGAAATGTGGAACTAAATCCACAGGAGAATTGGCATAACGCCTTCTACAGCCCCCTGCTTTAAAAACTAGTATTATTATTTTCTTCAACGCCCTGGAAATTGTTGGTGTTTATTTAGGAAGTGTGACACAGTTATTGGGTCCTTAGAAACTCGGAATGTTCAGGGGATTTGATTTGGCTACCAAATAGCTTGAAAGAGAAACAGCGCACCTGGGGTCAGGCGGGTCATCACAATAACAAAAAGCGCTTCTACAAAATAAAAAGCTCTTTTATAAAGAAAAGCAATCCCGGAAATCCACTGAGAGCCTTCCTGAGGAACATCTAGCTAGGCCTATTCTCAGGTTTAATTGGCAGGCGGTTTATTGGCGCCTTATTGGTGTTGATTGAAATTTTGCTCCCAGTCCTTTCTTTTAAGAATTAGCATCTCAAGTCGATTTACCTGAGTCAATTATCTTTTTAGGGTCTAGGTTTGGTCATAAATTTGCAAATATTCATTAAACTCACTTTGTAAATATCCCTCTTTCCGACCGCTACCCAAACTCTATCATTTCTGAAGAAAATCTTTTCTTTTTTAAGGCTTCCATAAAAAGAAATTGATCAGGGAGCTATATTTGAATTAAGACATATTAAATCGATGACAGATACATATCACGCTGTGTTTAACAAGAGTTGTACAAGGAGGCGGGTTCCAGATTCCGCACGGCTCTGCTTCACCATTATTCACATTTTTACAGCCTTTCCTTCATGCCTTCACCCATTAAACCATTAAATTTCAGCAATTCAATAAAACAAAGCAGTTATAATTTTGACGAAAAGCTATTTTGAAGGGAGTGGAGGTACCCATTTTATTGCACAATAAAAATGCTCAACAGTCCATATTAAAGGCTAGGTTGTGTTTATTTTCTTCTTTCTTAATTCATTCTTTTTTTGCTTTTGCTTTTACTTATAACCTGCAGAATTGAACTCAAAGCTGCCATTACTGCTAAGAAGCTGCCATTACTGCTAAGAAATTCAAATGAAGGAAACTCATTTGAAATGTTGTAAGACAGTGGTGATAATTCCAAATACGATGTTTCCTTCATAAGCCATCCATAGAGATGGCATCCATCACCCTTTGCTGGATTGGCTTGAGATGTTTTAAGTCTTTGAAACGAAATTGTGAAAGGATTCGTCCTTTTCAAATAGAGATGTGGATTTTGTCACTGCTGTTTATTAATTTTTTTATTGTTTTCACTCCTGCCTTTATTTTCCCATATTTGAACTTCATTGGAGCTTGAAGAGAAAGCACATTTAAAATTTAATGGTGGTATTGTCTTTGTTTGCTTGTCAGTTTTATAAGAGAAATGACATTTCCAAGTCTCATACCAAAGTCCCCTGTTAAACATTGTTCACACCAATGGAAATGGCACTATCGAAACAACTCTTTTGAAGATATTTCTTATTACTTTCCAGGACAGTCTCCCAGATAATGGCTTTGCAAGATCTACTTTTTACTTGGATGGCAAACGAATTAAGCTGGAAACATGTTTTATTGTATCCTCAAAAAAAAAATCACATTCTAATCATAATCATTTTTTTACAAGTGGTCTTATAGAGGGCAGCAAAATAAAAATTTAAACACCTTGACTTTAATTTTTGGGTATTTGGAGCATAACAAATTTCAAAAGTGCTTTCTTTTAAAATCTGAAGTTATATTTTGGGGCAGTTAAAAACACTAATTGGGGGGGGTGCACATTCATCCTTCTACCAAAAAATAATGCTGGGACTGATTTCTATTCTGAGAAAATGGACTTGATACCAAACTGCTTGAAAGGCATGGGGTTAAAAAAAAAAAAGCCCATTCTTATGGATTTCAAAAAAAGACATCTCTCACAGGGAGAAACCAGTTTACTAGAAAACGGTACGGTGAAAGTTGATTCTATTAGTAAATAAATAGCAAAGATATTTCTTTTTATTTTTCCTTTTTTTGCAGTTTTTGGCCGGGGCCGGGTTTGAACCCGACACCTCCGGTATATGGGGCCGGCGTCCTACTCCTTTGAGCCACAGACGCCGCCTCGATATTTCTTGATTAAAAGTTTTTTATTGGATCAATTATATTTTGTGGACTGGTCAAAGAAACTGAGGCACACGTGGAAAGTGCAAAGAAATTCTGCATAAAGAACATCTCTTGTTTAGAGATTTCCCTCAGGAGGGATGCCTTGTGGCCTGCCACTGTATCTCCAAAAGGCAAAAGTTAGAATCGCTGCCGATACACTCTCCCCGCCCCTCTGGTACATCTAATTGGAAGTGGCAGATCTAGAACCGATGAGTAGTGAGATTACACTTAGAGCCAACTCCTTTGAACTATGCTGAAAAGGACTCCATGAGCTAAAAAAACTAGGTAAAATGGTTCCTTAGGGGGAAGATTTATTTTGAGTTCGAAACTAGTGTTTTGTGGTGCCAAATCACTCAAGTTGTTTTTGCAACCAATGGACTTTATTAATCTTCCTCACTCCGTTTACTGCGTGTCCTCCGTGAGCGCTGGACGGGTTCGGTGTCCACCCAGGTTTCGAACATCACTACTACAGCAGGTTCACCCTCCTCCCCTAAAAGCAGCCCAGGACTCTCCCAAAGCAGATGGAGGTAGAAAGTACTCGGGTACCGGAAGGGACACATCCAGCGGTGAGGGGGAGGTTTCCCCTACACCCTTTGCCGCTCTGGGGTCCCCAGCCCCTCGCCACCCTCTGCCCTCTGACCGCGTGCAGGCGCACGCCCTCACCGCGAGGTGTGAGAAGGCAGCGGCCCGCGCTGCGCGCGCAGGCCGGGTTCAAACTTCCTGCAAGTGCAACTTGGGCATCCCCGGGGAGGCGGGGACGCAGGGCTCCAGCAGAGGAGGGGGCACGAAGCGAAAGCACAGGCGGCCACAAGCACAGGGGCGGATCCCCGCTGGGTCGAGGGCCTGAACGGGAGCCAATCGGGCAGCCGAGGCTGCTGCCAATCACGCAGCTCCCTCCAATCCCACCCGTGCCATTTCCAAAATCTCAGTTCCACTGTGCAGCTCAAATGTGGTGTTCATTCTGCCCATCGCTGGAGGATAGAGTGGGAACAGGAATAAGGAGAGTTAGGAGGCCAGGACAAAAGAAGTTAAAGAGCGCCCAATATATACATGTTTTTGAAGGCGGGCAGAGGGAAAAAAGTCCCCCCAGTGAGGGTCTATAGGCCTGATTGTGTAGTTCTGATGGAGCCCCCTATGAGCAAGAGGAACCCGCCAGCGCTGAGATTAGCGGATTTGGCAACAGCTCAGGCCCAGCCGCTTCAGAATATGACAGGCTTCCCGGCGCTGGCCAGCCCGCCCGCCCACTCCCAACTCCGTGCCGCTGCCGCGCACCTCCGCCGGCGGGACCTGGGCACTGACCCCGGCGTGGCCATCACTCCGCTCGGACCCGAGCACATGGCCCAGACGAGCGCGCTGGGCCTCAGCCCTCCCTCCCAGGCGCTCCCGGCACACCCCGAGGCTCCGGCGGCCGCCGCCTGTGCTGCAACCTTGGTAGCGCACCCCAGCGCCAGCACCTACCCGGGTGGCGGGGGCAGCAGTGGCGCGCAGCCCTCCGCGCCCCCGCCCCCAGCCCCTCCTCTTCCTCCCTCCCCTTCACCCCCTCCCCCTCCTCCTCCTCCTGCCCTCTCGGGCTACACCACCACCAACAGTGGTGGCGGCGGCAGCAGCGGCAAAGGCCACAGCAGGGACTTCGTCCTCCGGAGGGACCTTTCCGCCACGGCCCCCGCGGCGGCCATGCACGGGGCCCCGCTCGGAGGGGAGCGGCGGTCCGGCACCAGCTCCCCCCAGCACCCGGCCCCGCCTCCCCACTCGGCCGGCATGTTCATCTCGGCCAGCGGCACCTATGCGGGCCCGGACAGCGGCGGCGGCCCAGCGCTCTTCCCCACGCTGCACGACACTCCCGGGACCCCCGGCGGCCACCCGCACCCGCTCAACGGCCAGATGCGCCTGGGGCTGGCGGCGGCGGC